TTTGATGTTGGCGGGGGGAGGGGAGGGGAGAGGAGAAGGGGACAGAAAAGGTTTCCATGCTGTCTCCCATCAGCCAGTGAATGGAACTGCAGAAGCCTTTGTCCACTCCCAGATCCTGGCACTGAAGTTGGTAGCTATCTGTACACTACACACTACTGCCTGTAATGCGTAGTGTGGATGCAGAAATAATAATAAAAAAAGAAACTTTTTTCCTTTTTGAGCCTTAGAATTAAAAATGAATTCCAGAAATAATCTACCTGTATATGTTCAACCACCAGAAGATCTTAAATGGATTTAAAAAAAAAGAGGGGGGGGGGGGTTCTCCCATGAAATGGTTTATGCTGTACAGGGCAAAAATATACATTTGAAGCTGCTTCGGTTGTATACATTTTAAGTTGTGATATGTAAAGATTTTATTTCTTGTGCTCAATGTTACATTAATTGGATTTGGTGAAGCATTGGAGTCCATCGGTTATTTTAAAGACATTTGCCCATGGGCGTGCAAATGTTCAAAAATAGAGGAATCCACTCTATGACCAGTAGAGAAGGAAGAATTGAGAGTAACCTCTTCCACTGTTATCTGTAATACAGGGAATTAAAAAAAAAAAAAGGAAAATTCAGCAGAGCACTGTTAGATAAATACACAATCCCCTTCCCCTTTAGAATACTGAATTAACCGTATTTGCAATGCCTCCAGTTATTTCATCCATTCCCAGCTTCTGTCAAAGGCAAGACAGGAGAGGGATTGCTTGTTCTGTTCACTCCCTCTGGGGCACCTGGCATTGGCCAGTGACATAAGACAGGACACTGGGCTAAATGGACCTTTGGTCTGACCCAGTATGGCTGTTCTTATCCATGTAATAATAAAACCATTCAAGAGTGAGAGTTAAGTTGCTGAAAAGACAATGGCCATACACATCAAAATCCTGCATTCCTTTTTTATGCATAACTTCCCTGAAAGGAGTGCTAAGTCTGCAAGGGACAGGGTAAAACTCCAGCCTGGAGCAGCTAGAGTGCTTCCGATAGAAGCGGCTGCTCATCACTGAAAACAAATTTTTCAACATCACATCTGCTTCTGTTGAGAGTGCCACTGACTGAATGTTTTGGGAGGACATCACCACTCTGCATTATAACACAAAACTGACAGGCGGGCTAGTCTTGGGTAAAGGTAGTGCAGTGGCACCCAGAATCTTGGAATTCAATTCCTGGCACTTCTATGTTTCTTTTGTGACCTTGAGCAAGCTGTACTAGGCAGGATTCACAGCCACAAGTTAAAAGTGACTTGTGTGCACTTTAGATCAGGCCTTTAATCTCTCTCTGCCATGGCTCCTGTCAAATGAGGTTAATACCAATTCCCTATTGCTAACATTTGTGAAGCATATGTTATAATGTGGTGAGAGGCCATAAATAGATAAAAACAGATTTATTGCTGTGGTTTTTCAGATATACTAAGTTTGTTCCCCACTTTAGATTGGACAAAGGGAAGTTTGATAGTTGATGCCTATAAAGCACAAGGCTTGGAAATGTAACACATGAAAACCAAGTATGAAGAGTTTGGTAGGAGGATTCAGGCACTAGCTACTATTAGAAGTTTGGGTGGAGCTTTGTAAATCTCTGCTCAACAACAACTTTTACAGCCCCTCATCTTGCCAGAGTTTTACAGTCACTGCATTACAGGTCTGAGTTATTTGTTGTTTCCAGGCCATCACACCTGATGTAAATGATACTGTGTATTTATATTTAAACACAGAGAAATAAGAGGCATTCCTGATATATTTATATTAGGGGTTTTCCTAAAGCAGTTACAGTAGTGATCTAAGCACTAATGTCAACAAGCAATCCAACATACTGTACCTACCATATCTATTCTGTTTTGGCTTCCTATACACCTGTGACATCAACCCAGTTTTGAGAGAAGTGTATGGAAGCTTTGGGTACATTGCGTTTCAAACACAGTAGCAGTTTCATATGACATTGTTCAGTCTTCTGTTGGCCTGGGCACATGGACTAGGTAGTCTGGTAGACCTTTACGATCTCTAGCTGCCTGGAATCTCAGAGGCCTCACTTTTGTTTACTTACCATGTCACAAGGGCACTGTGCATATCTTACTGCTACACGCGCTGCTGCGATCCAGCATTGGCAAGTAGGTTTCAACCACTATGCAGTAACTGACTTCGGATTTCAAATCTTCAATTTTAACAACTTTGTCTGTTCCTTCATACATCAGTATTTTTTGTTTCTACATGTGGAGGAAGGGGGGGATCACAATCAGTATGTTCCTGTAATAAGTGTTTCTATGGCCCAGCTTTGTAAGGACAGCAGAATTGTACAGCCATGTTTTGGGATGTGTGAGCGCCAACAATAGTCACTTATTAGCTTATAATGCCTAAAAAGACATTGAAAGACAGAGCCTCTGCCCCAAAGATCTTATTTAGGAATGACGGAGAGCTGAAACACACTAACAAAGGGATAGAATAAAGGGACACAATGATAAAGTCATAAATTATTTTTTTAAATCTCTGAATTCATTGAATAACATTCACAAACAAATCTGGCAGGTTAATTCAATTGTAAATAGAGGTGGTGTTAGCCTATTGGGGGTCCTACACAGGAAATATTGCTCATCCCCATCTACTAATAAACTTGTTTAATACATTTTTAAATAAGAAAGCAAATAGTGGGCCCCTTGTAGAGAGTCGGGGCCATATGCAATTGCTCAGTCTGGTTATGTTTCATGACAGCTCTGTTAAAGCAGGATGGGTTTGCACAGGCTTATGTAATTCAATTTTTAGAAGTACAGTGTGTACATCAATGTGCACTTACTTCATCTAGCATGTTGCTGATTAGAAACACACGATATAATAGATCATAATAGTTTGTCATTGGTATCTTGCTGCCTCTTCGTCTTTTATAAGGTGAATTTGGAGCCCGGAGCTTTAATTGTATGGACTTGTTTCTAGGAGTCACTTTTAATGACGGAGGTCCTATCTTTGCTAGAGTAATAAACAAAAATATGAAAATAATTATAACTGATTAATGATGGCCTCACAGTCCTGAATTGTTAGCAATTGGGGGGAAAAGACCAAATTTAAGTCATAATGTTACTATCTTTGTATAGTAGCATCACGCTAGTAAAGCAGTACTTACAGCTGCTGGGTTGTTTTTAAAGCTCTTAATTGTAAGGTGGGGTGGTTTTTTTTAAACCAGTCCAAAGTTTTAATTTGAAAACATGAGAAACATCAGCTCAAAAGTTAAAACTTGTGAAAGTTTGTTAAAATTCCATTTTGCTGTTCACAAAGGATATTTCTTATAAGTAAAATGGAATTTTTATTAGCTAAGGCTCTCAGAATTGTGTATTTGGATTACTCTTAATGGCTACCTTAAAAACATTGGTATTGCCATGAACATAGTCTCACTAAGGACAGGAGCTTTTGACAAGTTTGAAAAACATTTGGGTTTTTGAATAGCTAAGGCTTAACTCTTCTGCATAAACAGGCAATGAATTCCCAATGACATGGGAAGGCAGAATCAACCCAAAGTTGATTGATGGGTGGAGTAGGAGGGGGAACATGAGCAGACATGCTTGCAATAGGGTGCAGAGTGTGCTGTAGCATCTCCTGGCTTGAAGTAGTTTTCATAATATGCAAGCTTTACAGTTTTGATTCAATGGCTCTCAGCACCCCCACCATAAAACATTATTCCAGCACCCCTGAAAGTGAGACAAGTGAACATGTTCCTTCACCCAAGCTACTTCAATAAAATACTTGTCTCTGTTACAAACCTTAGGCTTAGTCTCAAGCAAATAGTTAAGGGAGACATTCCCTTAAACTGTAACAAGCACTGTTAAGTCTGACCCACACAGATCCATGAGCTCAACTGTACCAATCAAAAGTGAGCTAGAAAAGCCTGCCATCCTCTCTTATGTTGCTGCTCCTTTGCATATCATCGCTAGGGTAGATACCATCAAAAGAAAATTACACGTGACACACAAATTTTACCTACTTCTAAATACAAGCTGTGCCAAAACAAAAGTGCATCTGCTATGAACTTCCCTTCAAATTTGTGTCTTTGACCACAGCTATACACCACTGAAAGATATACTGTCCTCACGGAAGCATTTAACTTCTACATAACAACTGCTGGTGTAGACCACTGGCAGGATGTTCCCATGCAGCCTACAACAGTTGACTTTTTTGGCTCCTTTTCCCCATAGCTAAAGGAGAGCACATTTCCCCCCTTACTGTCAAGTTTCCCCATCCTTTGTCCAGACCTTGCAGTGATGTTGAATGCTCTTCCTAGCTCCACGCCATTCAGTGATCTTGGGAATACCCATTTCTTAAGAGGATTAGCCTCCTCTGCTTTCTCAGTTATAGACAGGCATCTAATTAGGATTCAGATACAATCAAGCTAACTGGAATTTCATATGAAGAATTTGTTTTGTAACAGCAATTTTCTCAAGCACGGTTGATTCCTAAGCCCTAAATGTCTAACTGTTAATGCTATTTAAAGTTTTGACACGTGATGGCTGACTAATAATCCTGCATAACACATGTTTCACTCTTGGATTTGCACAACTTTTGGTTGTGCATCTGCCATGCTCTGATGTAGCTAATATATCTTCTGCCTACCACCTGATGAAGACTGAATGCTTGGACTATACAGCCATACTGCAGAGCTCTTATATCCTGCATGGAGTTTCTGGTTTGCTAAAGCAACTGACTTTTACTGACTTTCATAGTTCCGAGCACCCTTGGGTTCCCCCAGCAGTTAAACATTATCACTGTTTCCTCAGAAGCATACACTATCCAGAAGCATTGAGTGTGAGCAGGCTTGGGCTGGTGGCAGTTATAATTAGTCCAGTCTTTAAGGAAGTGCATCTTCTACAAGAACAAAGTGTACTCGTTGCCAGCTAACTCAGACAGTTTTACTAAATTCATTCTTTAGGCAGAGAAAGGAACTTCCCTATCCTTCTCTAATTTTGCACCAGCCCTTTTGTGTTTGTTCATCTGTCAACTCTGAGTATAGTACCAAGGCCAAAAACAATTATGGCCATGAGCAATAGAGCTTAGACTTCTAGCAACTCATTTTGAGGGAACAAATGTTTACTCAGAACAAAAGAAATCATACCATGAAACAAAAGATACACACTAAGATTTAAGAACCACAATGTTAACTTGTTCAACAGTGTAGTAAAAACTTTTCTTATGTTCCAAATTAAAAGTTGTGTGAGGAAAAACAGACACCCCTTGAAGAGGAAGGTCATAGTTCTGTATACAGAATGGACAAAGATTTTCAGACTTACTTTCCCTCCAGGGAGTAAATCTGCTGCTGGTGTTCCAATCGGAATGGACTCCAGCTGAAACAGATTTCACTCTGCCATAATAAGGTTCTCTGATATCAGATGTCTCATGTGTTAGGTCACAAAAAACTTCACGAATACCCCAACATTCTTCTTTGTTTTTCCATAGGTTTTGCCCATACCTGTGAGGGGAGGGGGCGCAGGAGGAGAGAAAACATAGACTTTGATAATTTCTGACCATTGGTTTAAGGTGGTGACATTTTAGTTCCATATCCAGTTGCTGAGCTGCACTCAGATACCAGATCCTCAGAGCTGCTGTGGCAAATAGATTTTTTTCATCCCAGCTGGCTGCAGGAAAGATTGATTTCATAGGTATTTTCCAAAGTCTGTATATCTGCTCCCCCCCCCCCAAAAGAAGACATAAAATTGAAATGCTGAATGCTTCTTGTCATTACAAACCTATGGCATGTTTCCCCTCCCATAAGGGGTGTTAGTTGCTGCCAACTAGATATTTTGTGTATCTAAGTCTTCCTGCAGTTCCAATTAGAAAATGAAGTCTTGCTTCTCATTTTCTATTGCTGGGCACTGTGGTTTAAGTATTCAAAAGTGACTGGAAATTTAAGGTGCATCTATGTGGGATGCCCTACTTGATGTGTGAGAGGGCAGGAGCCCAGCATATATAATATCCAATTCCCCCTTAAAGGGTCACATTGTAGGGAGTTACTTGACATCATCCTTTGTCAGATTCTAAAAAGTCATCTTGTGTGTAATTTGTAGTAATTGACTAAGTTGCCTCTTTTGAAGTAGCCAAGTATGACTATTCCCTGTACATAAGTAGGAAGAGGTTGTCATTAGAGCAGTGTGATGTTTTTCAGTGAAAAATGAAGATTCAGCAACAGTGAAACATTTTGTGAATTTTTGTCAATTCAATTTAATTATTCATGGAGGGGGAAAAACACAACACATCTTTTTCAAAATTTCAGTCAACTTTCATGATAAATACTAATAAAAGACATTTGAAAAGCTTGAAATTGAAATGAAACATCCAACACTTTGACTCCAAAAATGAATTTCTTTGACTTTTCAACTTGCCAAATATGAAAAGCAGTTGCTGGAAGTAAGCACCAAACAATTTTTGTTATTAACTTTTTGGAACAGACAGTGAGTAAGGAAAAAAATGAGTTCTTGCTCAGTTCTACTTCTTGACCCAGCAACCCCAGACAAAGACAAGTAGATGCTGGAAGTTCTTCACTGTACTTACACTTTGTACTGCACAAAGTAGGTAATGTCACCTGCGGCATCACTCCCAGGCTGCCAATGCAAAGTGCTGTTGAGGTTTAGTGCGTGAAATTCGACCTTTAGTGGTTTAATTAATCTCTGCAATTCTCTATGCCCTGAAACTAAAGGAATGAATAAGTAAGTAACAAAGGATAGAAAGTGTGCGTCACACACGTACAGTACTAACGTATTTACATTGTAATTTGTGGCATTGTTTTTTACAGAATAGTGAATGTAGTGCCAGTAACAGAGCCCATATTGCCACTTTAGGAAACTGAAGCATTTTAATTCAATTCACAGGTACAGCTACCTCAGAAGTCTCTTGTTCCCCAGTGCCATCCAATCCACAAGTTTCAAGAAGTAGGGATTATTGTTGTTACTTTTTTTTTTAATGCAGTGCCTATAAACAAGCTAAAGAGTGAGAGGCTCTGCATGCCTGTTCAAAATATTATCAACTTCATGGTCAATCAGAGATCTAGTCATTGGGGTAGTTTGTGATGTTGGCATCTGTCCAGTAAAATGTGATCTGAAATTTACCAGTTTATGCTACCCAAGAAACTGAAAAGTTATCATATGGTAACAATTTTCATGCTAACCTGAACCAGTTAAACCTCAGAAGCATCCAATTCCCCACCTTTCAACGATACAGAGCCTGGCTACCTACTCTGGCTCTGACACTGGCATTGTAACAGAATAAACTAAACCATGTTAGTTACTGTGACTGATGATACAGCTGTAAATGTTTTTTAAATGGGAAACATTTGTCTTTGCTTCTAATTCAGTACCTTGAAAAACAACAAACACCTTGAACTGAAAACTTTACACACTTGTGAAAACACCCAGCGATCCTGTCTAAGTTATTTGTCTGGATTCATTATGAAACCTAACTTTGCTTTTACATCAAAAGAATTAGAAGCATTGACTTACCAGTTGCACCAGTCCAAAGTAAATTTATCAGTAAGTAGAGGGGGTAGTGTTTGATCAGCAAGGTTAAAAGAACAGCTGCATGAACGGAGAGCATCTCTGTACCTCTTGGCCATTCATACCCTAATGTGTCACTACACTGAAAAGGAAGTGTTTATTCACTTGTACATTTTAGTTCCCTCTTTTGAATTAGGAACTCATTAGCCAGGATAGGTCAGGTCTTACATAAAAGTAACTTTTGACATAGCCAAATTAATATCTTCATTGTTCTGCATTAAACACCCAGCCCCTTGGTCTCAAATTGGCAGCTATGTCATTTCTAGGCTTGGAATGAAGCTTTTAATAAAGCAGGCCTGGATTTTCTGGCATGATGCACTATGGAAATTCCATTCCTCCCAACCTTCAATCCCTTCCCCCCAACATTCAATCAACTAGACAACAAAGTGTCCCTGACCCATGCTAACTACAGCATTCCCCTCTTACTCCACAACTCCTCCAATGCACCTCCCCACCACCTCCCACTTAGCCTCATGCTCCCACAAGCCCCAGCAGCTCTGGCATACACACAGCCCTGTGCAGCCCAACACCTCAGCATCACAAGCCAGAGCCACAACACCCTCCACTCATTCCGTAGCCCACCAATTACTCGTCCCCAGCCTGTCATACACACTGTCCTCAGGAACTTCCTGGCCACTTAGAAGTGCCTCCTAAGCCAGTGGTCCTATCCCAGACTAGATCAAATCCCTCCTGCTTCCTACTGCCCAGCTTCGCTCATTCCACACGACTCAGATTTGGCCCTGCTGCCCTTTGGTCTTAATGGAGGGGCAGCCAAGCCCAACTTCAGTGAGTGGCATAGGGGCCCAATACTCAGGGGTACAGTGCTGCTCAGATTTGGCCTGGCTTCTTCTCCGTTGTGCCTAGCATTAAATTAAAAACAAAGAGTCCTTGATTTTTAAAGTTAGCATCCTAAACCCATATCCAGGCACCTAAATAAATGAGCTGATTGTCAGAAGTGCTGAGTACCTAGCTTCTCCTAAAATGAACATAATGCTTTTGGTCTATGCTGAGGCCACCAGAGTCACCACTCTATACCAGAGTCATCTATTTTGACTATCACTTGCTGTGCTGTGAAGAGGCTTTTATTTCTTATTCTGCTTTGCTGCTCCTCCACACAAAGTCAAAGAACATGACAAAACTACACTTCAGACCATAAGACTGAAGGCTATTCACAGTAATCAAGGTTGATGTCTAGGTATTTGGGTGCATAATGCTTTTGATTTCCAGTTCTGTTTAACATGTTCATTGTGGAATGTACTTTCAGAGCAATGAGAGTGAATCATAGAATCATAGAATACTAGGACTGGAAGGGACCTCGAGAGGTCATTGAGTCCAGTCCTCCAGTCCTCTGCTTTTAAATAGCAGAAAGGGGCTCAGCATCCAGAACTCCCACTAACTTCTATAAGAGCTACAGGTGAAAGAATTTTTTTAAGGCAAAACAAAGTTGTTTTGTTTTTGGCTTGACTTTAAGTCTCATGTTCTTTTACAGATGCCTCAGAGTTCAGTATCTAATGTACTGTGCTATCCACCGTGCTCTACCAACTGCTCTGTTTATGACCTTGTTTAAATACACTTACTGGGTTGCTACCCCATCTTCTAGCACCAGCATCAGTGGAGAGGTAGCAGATATTTGGGCTTTGCGGTGGACTTCCCAGTGAAGTCAGAGTCAGTGACATAGTCGGGATATATTCTAAGTGTAACACTGAAGTGTAAGTCCTGAAATGAGATGTCAAACAGCATGCAGCCAATTCTTTCTTCCAAGAATATTAGCCCAACTTGGAATATTAAAATGTCAGCAGTTACACAGTGATACACAGAAGAAGGGGGCACTGGTACATGCAGGGAGCCTGTGAAGTCTACACAGTTACACTTTCACATCCCTAAGCCCAGGTCCTGTTCTGAAGGCCCAGTCTGCCTCAGGAACAGGCCAGAGACCAAGGCAGAGAGCAGGCTCTTTAGTTGCTTTGCACAAGTCCCCCCTCTCTCCTGAAACTGCCTGTACACAAAACCTTACAACATTAAAAATAATATGCCATATCTTCCCATGAGGCCATATTTGTTCACTCCAACCTCTCCCTCCTTGCTCAACTTAGTAGACTGTTTACCAGTGCCACCTTGTGCTGCTTTTCACAAAGGTATAACTAATGCACACACGGTACATATGGGCAGAAACATTAGCCCAGATGCAGTCTGTCCAAGGACAAAGTCCTGGTCCAACTGAAATCAACAGCAAAATGCCCATTAACTTCAATGGACGCAGATTCTGGCTGCAAATACTAGTTTTAATGACAAATAAATGAATTAAAGAGTTGTCTATGTGAAGTGGTGGCCACACTTTAATACACTAGTAATCTGGAGAAAAGCTACAGTTAGTTGCTACTGCAAATGAAACCCAATTCAGCACCAGTGTAAGTGGGGACAACTTCATTCTTGTTAGTGAAGTTGTACCTACTGTGACAGGGTCAGGCGAAATGGCTACAGGAGAGTGTTAGAAGACAGGTACGTTAACTCCAGATAAAACAGGTCCTGTTTCCCTGGGTAAGCTAACAGGGGCTATTCCAAAGCAATTAAATCACCTGGAGTCAATTAGGAACTTGCTAGAATCGGTTGAGACAGGCTAATCAGGATATCTACAGCCAATTAAAAATTTATTAAAAAAACCTTACCTTTTGTTCCAAGCACGCAAGGAGCCAGAGTAAGAAGTTGCATTGTTGAAGGTCTGGGAGCTAGAAATACTGTCTAGTACCAGAAGGAAAGTCCTGTGGTAAGGATAAAGAAGGTACTGAGGAAGGGACTGCAAGGAAGTAGCCCAGTGAATTGTAGCTGTTGCACAAAGAGGTTGCAGACACATCTTATCCACAGGGTCCATGGGCTGGAACCTGGAGTAAAGGGTGGGCCCCCTGGAGTAAAGGGACTTACCCCCATCTCCTGACTTGCTATTTGCCATGTGAGAATTGACCTGGACAGTGAGACACACCAGAGGGGAGGGACTACTTTGGAAAGGGGTGTGGCCTGTCCCACGCCTGTTCAGCAGAGGCTGCAGGGTATGTTCTCATCCCTTCCCTCCATGCTGGCCAATGCTAAGTAGGGATTTAAATATCAGCTAATTGAATAGTAATTAACCTAATAAATTCTTACTAGTTACTTGACTATTCTATAGTCTCCTGGGGCAAGGCCGACAGCCAGTGCGCTCTGGCTCCACTCCCAAGGAGCCTCTTGCCACTTCAGGCTGCTGCCTCGCTATCAGAGGCAACAGCATGGGGTGCCAGGAAGGAGCTGGTACTCAAGGGGACCCAGTTTAAAAACTAGCTGCCTCACAGACCGGCTGCCTGTTGCCCTGTGTTGCTTCCTCTGATAAGGAGACAGCTGTGCAGGGTGACAGCTGCCCCTGTCTAAGGAGGGGTCTGAGCTCCTGGACCCGGTGTGAGCTGGAATTGAGCCTGGCTGCTTGCCTGCCTCCTAATACACTTCAAATGCAGAGCCACAGCAGTGGTAGGTCCCAGACCTGGCACAAGCAAGGACTGAGCCAGGCTGCTAAAAATGTTCTGGAGAGGGAGGAAATGCATGTAATCTATAGCATTAACCTGTAAGCTTTTGCTTATTGGTTAATCAACTGTACTATTCTATCCCTAATGATAAGGATGGCTAAGGAAACAGCAGGTTTGTGCACCTGGTAAGTGTCTAAACTGAGGGCTGCTGTGAGCCTGAGGCAAGCAGTCTGATCAAAAGCACAGACTCTGCCAAGACAGAGAAGGAGCTTTGTCACTATGAACATTAGGACTCAATTTTGCACTAAAGTTCATTAAAAATTGTGGATTCTTTTTCTAAATAGTCAATTATATGATGGGCGAGGAATTATAGGAACACAAGGAGTGAAATCCAGCAGAAAGCAAAAGAGCAAGCACAGAACATGATCCCAAATAACATGTGTCACTGACTGGCAAATTGTTCTCCTGTTACCACCCCCACCCCGCCCCTCCACCAACACACTTCCCAAACAATGATGACCTTTAAGCAGTTCCTTTCCCTAGAAATAGCTGGTATTTATTCCATAATGTTTTATGACCTTGAATTCAGGAATAAGGAACTGTTACATAATCTAGTAACAAGACTATGTCATCACTGAATTTTACAGCTGTGCTTCCTTCAGCAAAGGATTATAGACTTTGAACTGAACCACTGTATACACATTTGTCAAAGTAACATTGCAGTATTTGAGTGTGAAAATACTGTATATTTGAAATAAGAATTTATAAATAAGAGGCAATTTTAAGAAAAATGAGAATTGTGAAAGGTCATTGAAAATTGGAAATATTAAATGTTTTGGACAGGTTTTTCCAGATATTATTTAAAATATATTAATTCCTTAAAAGGAAGCATTTGTTGGACTTAAGATACTAGTACTCCCACTTCATTTCAAAACACTTAAGAATTGAGCAGCAGTATGTTGATGAATGTGAAGGTACAGTAAAAGACACCTTTATTTACTTAGTATGAGTGGATACATGGAGCTTTGGCCCTTAAATGTACTTTGATTTGAAGATAAATATTGACGTAAATGCTAGCATTACAGCATAAGCTATTCTTGAGACTTGGCAAGAACCAAGGTCATACTCATGTAAGTCGCTAACTGGAGTTCCCCTTCAGCATTAAAACTTTGACACTATATTCCAGAACAAATCTCTGCTTTGGTAATGTATTTTCCAATTGTAAGAGGGATTTTCACTCAGGGTGAAAGTCAGCCCATGTACAAACACTTTACATTGTTTAATACCTCTTTAACCCCTTTTTTGAAACCTGTGCTGCACAAATCTTGACTTGATGCATAGCACAGGGGTTAATTTAGCTTTTTCTTTGTGCACAGATTTGAAGGAGATGGAGGCAGGGCAAAACTGGAAATTAGATAATCTAGTTTACCTAGAACATTTCCCGCAACCAGCACAACTTCCTTGTAGAGGCCACATAAGTATGAGACTAGTCCCATAACAAATAAATACTATGATAAGCAGATTGATAGTGTATAGGTGATATGTCTTTGTACAGAATTTATGGAATTCTGTTGAGAAAGAGCAGCAGTGTTGACAATTGTTCAGCTCAGTGTAAAGGAGACTGATGAATATTTAGTATTTGAATGAATCCAATTTTTTTTTAAAAAGCAAAAGGGACATTATGTTTCTTACCATTCACTTACCACACCCCAGGGACCAAGGGAGGAGAGTATACTGGGGTTGTGTCTATACTAGCGTGATCTTGCGCTAAAGTGATTGCTCTTGTGCAAAAACTTGAAGCCTGTCTACACTGGCCGCATGTTCTTGCGCAAGTAAACTGTCATTCTAATGTATGAAATCAGGGCTTCTTGCACCAGAACTCTGATGCTCCCGCTCAGGAATAAGCCCTTTTGTGCAACTTTTCTTGCACAAGAGGCCAGTGTAGACGGGCAATATGAATTTATTGCACAAGAAAGCCCTATGGTTAAAATGGCTATCAGAGCTTTCTTGCACAAGAAAGCGTCTACACTGGCATGGATGCTCTTGCGCAAAAGCATCTCTCTTGCGCAAATGCACATGCCAGTGTAGACGCTCTCTTCTGGAAGAGTTTTTGCACAAGAAGCTGCCAGTGTAAATGTAGCCCGGCTGTTTGGAGAAGAGGTGTGTTGCCTCTTCCACAAGATTTACTGCAGTCAAGTTTCTAGGAAATGAAGCATTGCTTTTATAGAGACAGTAAAACCACAGCTTCAAATGTCCAAGGCTATAGAGGGTAGATCTTTGAAAAAGATGGGGAGGTTGGAGCAGTGAAGCATGTCATAGTAGAGGTTTAGTATGTTTTAAAAAAATATTAATGCAAGTAACTTAACACCATGTGAAACCTTGAATCACGTCAACAGACTAATAAGTAGTGCTCAGTATGTTGAGACATGAACACTGTCAAACTGAAAACATATGAATAATTTCATGTGAGATACCAAAGTTATGTTAGGACAGAGTTAATGTTTTTCTGCTTTTTAAAAAAGTGACTGTTAGCATCATTGAAAAAGTGCCAGGATATGTCTACACTGCCACCCTAGTTCGAACTAGAGTGGCTAATGTAGGCATTCAAATTTGCAAATAAATATCCTGGGCTTCATTTCTATGTTCCCGGGCAGGGAAGGAGGAGGAATAACGGTAGTTCGAATTAGGAGCTTTAATTCAAACTACCTAGTCCATGCCGTGTGTAGCCGTGGGCAGGTAGTTCGAACTACAGGCATTTAAAAATGGCACCCGCCCGGGGACATAGAAATGAAGCCCGGGATATTTATTTGCAAGTTCAAATGCCTACATTAGCCATTCTAGTTCGAACTAGGGTGGCAGTGTAGATATACCCCCAGAGAGTGATTGCTCTGGAGGAAAGACTACCATTTAAGTCAGAATTTGTGCAACACAAGCAGTGGCCATGCTGCAGCAAGATACCTCAGACCTGAGGGGAGGGAAGTTCTACCTATAGTCTACCCTTCACACAGACTGCTATGAATGATGGCAGTTGTGATTGATCAACTTAGCCATATTCAACCAGGGTTTCATATCCCTTAGCAACTACAAGTTGGACATGTACTAACACCACCCTTGAATAAAATGTCCCCTTAGCCTGTAAGTTAATTATCTTCTGATGTTCAGAATGCACAGTCAATGTCTACATTGCAGGTTTTTTGCGCAAGAACTGTTTGGCACAGAGTTCTTGCAGAAAAGTACTTGCGCAAGAGTGTGTCCACACTGTCATGTGCTTTTGTGCAAGAGATGTGCTTTTGCGCAAGAGCATCCATGACAGTGTGGACGCTCTCTTGCGCAAGAAAACTCTGATGGCCATTTTAGCCATAGGGATTTCTTGCGTAAGAAACCCGTTGCCCAGCCACGCTGCCTTCTTGTGCAAGAGCTCTTGTGCAAGAGGGCTTATTCCTCATGAGGAGAGAAATAACTCTTGCGCAAGAAGCCCTCTATTCCAACGCCTTACTGTAAATTTACTTGTGCAAGAACGAACATGCAGTGTAGAGGCTCCGCAAGTTTTTGCACAAGAACAGCTGTTCTTGTGCAAAAAGCCTGCAGTGTAGATGTAGCCACAGTGTTGTCAAACTAAATAATTAACTGCCTAAAATCTATTAATCACTTGGTTCAAACTAGGATGGCTTTGTAGAAGGAAGAATACTATACCGCTGCCTGATGGAAGCAGAGACTTTTTTGTAGGCCAGACTCTTCCTGGGATAAGAACAGTACATTTTTTCTTCTCTGTAACCTATTTTAAGCCCAAAGTTTGTTGGGCTTAACAAGAATAAGGAAGTGATTTCATCGATGAATTGGATTCCCTTCCTCCTGAAAAGCCCCTAATAGCACATATATAGTGCTTTGTCTGCCTCCACTGGCCTTATCCTCTTAACTACCACTTCTTTTAAGTCAACCTCACAGCAGTACTTTCCTCCCCTCCCAATGTGAAGGGGCCTTCAAGAAGTCCTCGGACTCCTCCCTCTGTCCAAGCCTGATTAGAGGGCTCTTCCTCATTCTTCTTCCTGCAAACACAGTTGACAAGAAGGAGACTGGATGGCTTACTGCATGGCCCACATCTAGCGTTGCCTCTGTTTTTCTGCTGTTGAAAGGGTGCACAGTCTCTGCTCATTAACGATTAAATGGCCCTTTCTGAGAGTGCTGAGTCTGCTATGCATAGCACTTTGGGGGCTAGGGCTGGCTCCTTCTCCAGGCATTCATGTAAGCAAGCAGCATATACAAACTGATACTATTCTGCACTTCAGAAGTCTTGGGAATTTACCAGCATCTGACCTGTCACATACAATATTTTGCACAGCGGCATCCCTCAGAACTTCTACT